CAAAGAGGATGGACTTTTTTTTTTTTAAGTTTATTTACTTAGAGAGAGAGCATGAGCAAGAAAGGAGCAGAAGAGAGAGAGAATCTCAAGCAGGCTCAGCATCATCAGTGTGGAGTCTGAGGTGGGGGCTCGACCCCCTGAATTGTGAGATGATGACCTGAGCCTAAATCAAGAGTGGGATGTGTAACCAACTGAGCCACCCAGGTGCCCGAGGATGGGATTTTTATAGGATACTATCCTTGTGGTAAAATCCCTACTTTAGTCATGCAGACGTCAAGGAGGGCAAAGGTGGCTGAGCCAAAAAAGACCTCTCTGACACCCTAGTCCTCTTTCTCTCTCTCTCTCTCTTTGCCCTCCTCTCTTGCAAAAGCAAAGACTAGCTGAAGAGTGGGTCAATTAGTGATGTTTGTGTGTGGCAGAGTGCTGGGGATGGAGCATCGCCCTCCACCATTGAGATAATAAATTTGTGTTTTCAGCCACCCAGTTTGTGGTAATTTATTCCAGCAGCCACAGGAAACTCCTACAGATTCCTACTCAATCCTACAAGAGGAAGTGTTCTTAACTATGGAGCCTCAGCCCAGACCTACTGAATCCAAAACTCTAGGGAAACTGTGGGTTTAATTTTTTTTTTTTTTGAGAGAGAGAGAGTGAGTGCGAGCAAGGGAGGTGCACACTATTAGCATGGAGCCTACGTGGGGCTCAATCCCATTAACCATGAGATCATGACCTGAGCCAAAATCAAGAGTCTGAAGCTTAGGGGTGCCTGGATGGTTCAGTAGGTTAAGCGTCCAACTTCAGTTCAGGTCATGATCTCATGGTTCATGGGTCTGAGCCTTGTGTCAGGCTCAGACTTTGTGCTGACATCTTGGAGCCTGGAGCCTGCTTTGGATTCTGTGTCTCCCTCTCTCTCCACCCCTCCTCCCTCATACTCTGTCTCTATCTCTGAAAAAAATGAATAAATGTTAAACAAATTTTTTTAATTAAAAAAAAGGAGTCTGAAGCTTACCCAACTGAGCCACCCAGGTGCCCCAAAACTTCCAGTTTTAAAAGCTCTCCAGGGCTCAGTGTGGAGCCTGCTTTGGATTCTCTCTCTCCCTCTCTCTGCCCCTCCCCTGCTCATACTCACTCACTCTCAAAATAAATAAGCATTTAAAAAATAAAAGCCCTCCAGAAAATTCTGACACCCAGCTAGAGGTGACAACTGCATCTGTAAAGACTCTTCTTTTCCTCACCTGCCATAACCAGGGTCTCAGGCTTCAGAGGATGTGTTTGGGGGAATGGATTTATGCTGAACCAGGAGCACAATCCCTTTGTGAAGCAGAGAACATAATTTCAAGATACTGTAGGGGAACGAAAATTATTTTTCCTGCATTCTCCTAGGTTTTCTGGCTGGGGCCCTATAAACTAGGCTGATAAAAGACAAATCAATGAGAGAAAAGCAAGCAAAAGTTCATTAGCATGTGCACCACCCTTACACCTGGAGTATTCAGAGATGAGTAACTCAAAGTGGTGCTTAGAACTCGGGCTTATGTGGAATCTCAGCAAGGGAACACTAATGTGTTACAGAAGCGATGAGACAAGGGAAAAGAACCTTGAGTCTCTGGCAAGCCAAACTGTGGGAAGGCACATTATGACAAACTAATGGTAAATAAAAGTTTAGTAGAAGTTGTTATGTAGATTCCTCTGGTGCTGTCTCCAGGGTGCTTAAGGTCTAAAGTTGTCTCTGGTGATTAATTTTGGTCCTTACTAATAGAGAAGGAAGGGGGACACCTTTGTAAACGTATGTCTTGCTTTCAGGCAAATAGGGGGAGGGCAGAGAGCTTTTCTTGTATCTGCTTCTTAGTTGCCTTCAGCTCAAAATAATCCTTATGCAAACGTGGTATATATTGGGGTGCATATTCTGACACCCTACAATACCTAATACCTTAACCATTTCCCATAATCCAGTATGATTCATACATTTCTTTTGAAAGTTAAGAAGACACAGTAAAAATAATTAAAAATCTAAATCTTGACATTTCAAATTCACCTTTTGTCTCAGATGCTATAAATTTTGTTTTGGGCTTAAGACTTAATCTATTTTGGGGCATCTGGGTCGCTCAGTTAGTTAAGCATCCTACTTTGGCTTAGGTCACGATCCCCAGTTCGTGAGTTCTAGCCTCACATTGGTCTCTGTGCTGACAGCTCAGAGCCTGGAGTCTGCTTCAGATTCTGTGTCTCTGTGCCTCTTTCTGCCCCTCCCTGCTCACACTCTGTCTGTCTGTCTGTCTCTCTCTCTCAAAAATAAATATTTGAAAAAAAAGATTTAATCTTTTTAGGAGGAAAAAAATGCCACTGCTTGAAAGGAAAAAATATAACATGTTAATAATAGGTATTAGAAAAAAACAAAACTCCCAAGTAGATGTCTCCATTTTCCCTTCACCTTCCCCTGGATGCAGCACAAGTGAGAATACTCAGTGAGGTGCCACCAGGATTTCAATGGCTATCACAGTTATTTGTCCCTCCACAAGGGATGAGCACAGATGTAATTCTAAAGAAAAATTCAAGTATATGCTCCTGATGAATTGTCACCAAAGGTAAGTGTATTTCTTTCTCTAGTTATTGTGCATAGATTAGTGCCCAACTAGAAGGAAAATGCTTAATGGACTATCTGATTAAAGAACAATTTCATTAAAATAACCACTAGTTTTATGCCAATGCATAGATACAATGTAATGTTACCAATTTACTTTTTAAAAGAGCTCCTGAAGAATATAAGCCAATTACTTTAGTAAAAGCCCTATATTGCACCAGGGAAAGATGAAACATTGGACTTGATTAATCACAACATCTGCTGTATGAATTAATCTACCATGAAGAATTAATGGGACTGTCCTTCAAGAGGAACACCAAGGAGAGAAATGATGAATAACGTGATTTACAAAAACAGGCAGTGGGCAGGATTTGACCTACAGGCTCACTTTGCCAATCCCTACTCTAGAGCTAAGGATGGTATTTACATTTTTAAATGATTGGGAAAATTCAAATGAACAATAAATCATACTATGTGAAAATTATTTGAAATTCAAATTTCAGTGCCCATAAATGAAGTTTATTGGAGCTTGGCGACCCATGCCTGTTCATTGGTGTGTTGCCCATGGCTACTTTTGCCCTACAATGGGAGCGTTGAGTGGTCCTGACAGAGACTGCATGGCCCACAAAGCCTGGAATGGCTACCATCTTGTTCTGGCCGACTATGTGAATTAAATCTCAGCTCCCTACTTAGTACTAGTGTCACCTTGGACAAGTGACTCTAAGCCTTAATTCCTTGCCTATAGATATGCAGGTCAACACTAGGGTCCAAATGGAACCCGGCAAACAGAAATTGAATCCTCATTTAGTGAGAGGTAAAGATCTCCTGGGGACTTGCACATAGACCGTACTTATTGAATCATTTCCTTTAGTGAAGTTAAAACAAAGATATCTTAGGATCCTTGGAACTTGAAATCAAGTGTCCTGTGATCAGACCTCTGACCTGATTTCTTTTGGGAACTTACAGGGAAACTAAGAATGAAAAAGCAAGAACAAGCCATGGGAAAATGAGAAAAATATAGTTTGGAATTGGAAATTCTGATCCTCAGAATCCTCATTTGTTAAATGAGATGTAAAACACTATGCAAATATATACAGTTGCCCAATTAATGTATTTGGAGCATACTTACACTAAAAAATTACTTGGTTTTTTTTATCTGAAATATAAATTTTATCGGGTACACTGTATTTTTATTTGCTAAATCTGTCAACCCTATATATGAACCTTAGTAATTTGTCATAAAAAGGCTAAGTATGATCTTTGCTAAAAATATATTCTATCAGTTAATCATTTTCCCCAAAACCTTCCTATGAAAAAATTGTGCTATAGAAAGGGGCAAAGAATGTGTAATTTTAGAACCTACTAAAATTTGCAAACTGATAGCTAGAGGGAGCCAAACTGATAAAGAAACAAATGACACCCCATATCCTGGGCTGATTAGTCTTCCTGCAGATTGAAAACAAGCCCTATGTGTGAATCAGTCACTTTTCTAAAAGGTATACATTTTTTACTTTCTTGAAATAACATAATTAGGACATTCAATGTCTAAAAAAAGGTAACAAACAATAAATGGGTTTCAACAAAAGGATCCCTTGTGCTATACCTTTTCCATTTGCCTGCAGGTGAAGATGGGCTGGACCAGGGAATAGAGCAGAGACTCGTGTGAAATACCCGAATACCGAATTCTAAGACTCATTGCACAATGCATTTAACTTAACATTATAAACAAGAATCTAATCTGAGGAATGATTTATTGAGCCTGAAAAAGCACAAGAAATCTCCAAAATCTCTCCTTGCAGCCCAGGAGATGTCATCCTCCCCAGTAATTCTCTCATTAGAGGGGAAATCTTAGCATACATTTGTCTTGCTGTTGCTCCCCAGACCTGAAAGACAAGAGATTTTTCTATTTTCCTTTTCCTTTCCAAGGATTCCCTTACACTCTGTTTAAAGGAAAATTGTTCGGGGTGCTTGGGTGACTCAGTCAGTTGAATGTCTTACTCTTTATTTCAGCTCAGGTCATGATCTCGCAGTGGGGGAGACTGAGCCTTGCATTGGGCTCTGCGCTGACAGTGTGGAACCTGCTTGGGATTCTCTCTCTCTCTCTCTCTCTCTCTCTCTCTCTCTCTCTGCCCCTATTCCACTCATGTTCTCTCACAAAAACAAACATTAAAAAAAAAAAAGCAAAATTGTTCTACGTTTAAATTTTTCAAATGACCATCCATTGTTAAAGAACAATATGCTTGGAATAATCTATAAGCCAGCCAGATTTGCCTCTTGAAACACAAAGAGAGAGTATTTGGAATTTAGGGCGTCTTTCTCTTTTAAAACCTGTTTTACAAGCCTGTGATCTTCAAAATTCTCAGACTAGACTGCAAAAAATATGTAATATTTTCTCTTTGCCTTCCTGCCATAAGAATGATAATCCTACCTGAGGCAAATGGATGCTGCCAACAGAATAGAAGGAGGTCATATACCTGGAGGCACAGGGAGAAAAGAACATTATGTATTTTAAAGATAATATTCATTACAATGATTATTCAGCACCAAAGTCAACCCAGCTTTATCAAGTATTTTCTTACACCTGATGTTTATCCAGTAGTTATTCAGATACAAGCAAACAGAAATCATTCCTAAGTTCTTGCACATATATTCTCAAGTAGGATGTAGAAATGTTCCTATTATTTGGAGGTCATCCAACTATCCACAAACATTAGAACAAACAAATGGAAAATATTTCTCAATGCCTGAACTACAGTAGAAGATTAACTAGGAATCTAAGTGGAAAAATAATTTCTCTAAAAGAATTTTTTCAAATGATCATTCATTGTTAAAAATTATGCCACTGTAATAATGAAAAGAACTGTTGATCTGGGGCAGGTGCATGGCAATCATGCCATCTACTGCATGACTAGTTAATGTTGGGCAACCTGGTGTGAGAGCTGGGAACCAGGTAGAGGGTGATGGGCAAGACAGAGATCTTGCTTGTAACCAAGGAGCTGGAACAATTATGTGTGGATAGTTATTAACCATTTTAAAAGATTGAATAGCAATTTGCAAGTATATAGCAAACATCTGTGGAAATAAACAAAGACCACCAAAATGAGAAAAGCCAAAGCTATTTATTGTGAGCTTGCTATAGTAAGGGAGACAGCCACCGTCCCTTGTGTTTTGGTGGGGACTCAAAGGCAGGCAGAGGAGTGGGAAAGCTTTATAAAATGCACAAAGTGGGGGCTTCAGGAGTGCTTGATTGGAAGTTGTCGGCATGGGGAAGCTGTAGATGGTCTAACTAGAAACAAGACATCCTAGGTGATTGGTCAGGGTGCATATTTGGCTTTCTCTGGTTGGTCCTACATTGGAAGCAGGGACAAAAATTAGGGAAGCTGTCAGTTATTAATCAAGTCCTGGCCATTTTAGGCTGATTGTTACAGTAGTTATTGTTTAGCTTCTTGCAGTGTCACTGGAGATTGCAATTTTGTTCCCCTTAAGTCTGATTTATAGCAGGCTGGCTTCCTGGGTTGTTTATTGTAGATAAGAGGTTGGTTTCTTGGACAGGTTGCTGCAGGTTGCAGGTCAAAGTTTTATTTTCATACAATGGTCTGGCCATTGACCATTTGTATATTCAGTCTGTCATATCCCATTCCATAATCTAAATAACAGAAAAACTAAGCAAACATACCCAAAAGGTGTTGGTGATAGGTCAGTTTTAAAATGTTAATCATTATAATCTTCTAGAATTAAGATATTTAAACTTCAGATATATCCTACACCCAAACAGGTCAGGTTGCAGATCTTCCAGACAAGTCATTTATGTTCTAAAAACCAATGTCCTAAAATTGTGTACTTTATTAGGTAGATTGCAAAGGTATATATCCTGTTAAATACTGTACAGTAGAATATAACCTCCATAAAGGACAAAACTTTGTATTGTTCAGCACTTTTTCCCTGGCACCAACAGGGAGCAGGATCTAATACAGGGTCTGATACATAGTAGGCACAAAAGAAATATTAACTGAATGAATTAATGCATGTTTCTACCTTTTTTATATATCTTTCTTTTTAATTGTGGTAAAATGCACATAACATAAAATTTACCATTTCAAACATTTTTATTTATTTTTAATTTTTTAAAAATGTTTTATTTATTTTTGAGAGAAAAAGAGAGCAAGAGCAGGGGAAGGACAGAGAGAGAGTGGGACAGAAGATCTGAAGCAGGTTTTGCACTGAGAGCAGCAAGCCCAATGTGGGGCTTGAACTCATGAACTGCTAGATCATGACCTGAGCCAAAGGTGGACGCTCAACCAACTGAGCCACTCAGGTACCCCTACTGTTTCAACCCTTTTTACATATACAGCTGAGTAGTGTCAAGTGCATTCACATTGCTGTGCAACCAATCTCTAGAATTCTCTTCTTTTTTCTTTTATTTAAATGTTTATTTTGAGAGAGAGAGCATGCACGCATGTGTGCAGGGTGAGGAGCAGAGAGAGAGAGAATCCTAAGCAGGCTCCATACTGTCAGCACAGAACCTGGCGCGGAGCTTAATCCCACAAACCGTGAGACCATGACCTGAACCGAAATCAAGAGTAGGATGCCTAACCAACTAAGCCACCCAGGTGCCCCACTAGAGCTCTTTTCATCTTGCAAAACTGAAACTCTGACCTATTCAGCAATTCCCTGTTTTCCCTGCCCCCCAGCCCCCCAATCCATCTCTATGAATTTGACCACTCTAGGTAACTCATATAAGTGGAGTCACAGTGTTGTCTTTCTGTGTCTAGCTTATTTCGCTTAGCATAATGTCTTCAAGGTTCATCCTTGTTGTATCATGTGACAGAATTTCCTTCCTTTTTTTAAAAAAAAATTTTTAATGTTTATTTATCATTGAGACCAATCAAAAGATTGGTCTTTAAGGAGGCAATTTTCATTTATCCAGAAGTTTCACTTGCATGGAATGGAGGCCTTCCTTGTAATGCCACATTAGTGCGATGTTACTATTTACATATATAATAATCATACAGATGCCTTTCAAATATAAATCATGATATAATAAGTACAAACACTACACTAAAACAACATTTTCAGTTAATGGTGTCTATGTCATGGCAAAATGTTTATTGATTCAGGAAAGAGGTAATCCATTTAGCTGGGAACAATCTTGGGAAGTTGAATATTAAGATCTAGGATACTTGAGGCGGATATTAGAGTTTTCAGATTTCTATAGGATTCCTGGAGTTGTATCCTTTTTCCTCTCATCTCATCTTTAAGCCAAATTTACAAACCAAACCATTGAAGAATGACAAGTCTAACAATTACCATTTGGGGGGTATATTGAACAGCCTCATGTACGGAATGCCAGGAATCTGAAAGAAGTCAGGAAGTGACATACGCCCTGAGGGGGGGGTAATGACATAGTTATGACACATAAGGGGCATTATTACAGTGTGTGCGGGGCTGCACATGGGAGGAATGGGTAAAAGTTAGGGAGGGATGTGCACTCCATCCCATGCAAGAGCTACTGCTGCCAGCCCATTGATAGCTGGCTGGCTGACAGGTGTGTCCAGAGGCAGCAGGCAGAGGCATGGTGGTGAGCGCTGTGTGTGAAGCATGAGAGGACCCCCCAGAGTCGCTAGGAAAGATAGGTGATCTGGGAGTCAAGAGTAATGTTTGCCAAAAGGTTGGTGAGGGGTTCACCTACAGATACAAAAGCCAGGGAGACAAGCAAGGTTAAGGAATGCAAAGGGATCTGAATAAAAGGTATTGAAACTGAGAATAAACAAGTAATTAATAGTTAAAATGTCAGGGAGTTGTTGAAGTATGTGTGAAGAATATCACAATGGGGCTATAATTTCATCTCTTGAATTGGGAAAAGGCTGTCGTCACTTTTTTGTGTTACACAACATGGTTCCTTTGTAAAGGAGGGTGTGTTGTTATTCCAGGTTCATGGGTGAGGAAACTGGGCAGTGAACCCAAGCCCCTTCAGTCATATCAACATCAGAAGCTGAATTAGGACTGGAATTCACCGCCTTGCAGCATTTTGCTAACAGGTGAGCCTTGATCCATAATTTTCCAGTGCCAAAAAACTCTTCTTTCCTAGAAAAAGCTTTTGTTTCTAATAAATGTATCTTATGTTTTAATGGGCAGTGGGTTGTGGGGACAGGGGAACTTGTACAAACTTATCCAGTAAAAGTCTTCAGCAATGTTAGCTTAAGAAGTGGCCCGAATTTAGGTGATTTTGCTTGTTTAGAGACACTAGGTTTTTGATGCCTTTACACTGAGACATCAATTCAGTAGTTCTGATTCTATATTAACCATTAAGTATGTGCTGGACTAATGATTTTTATCTAATGATTTTTATATAAATGAATATTCATCTGTTTTTTTAGGCAATGAAGCAAGGGCTTTTCAGGTATGTTTGAACCTTCAGTGGAAATTGCAGAAAATCACTAAAATGTAAGATTATTGAGATTGTTGTTTAAAGCTTTTTGAAAAAATAACTACATTGATAGGGAATGTGTTCCTGTCACATGTTATTTTTTACCTGAAATTTTCTTTATTTGGTGGTTGAATATTAAAGCCCTAGTTACTTCTAGTTAGTCACAAAATAGCTCAAGGCACTTGCTGTATTCTAGAATGTTCCATAAACAAGTGTAGTTTAGGATTTGTAATAACAATAAGATACCAAGGTGAAATGGGCTAATCCCTTCTTCCTATCTCACCTCTTATGGTAAGGAGTTCTTGTAGAAAAAAATCACCTGGTTGCTTCATGAAGGATCCTATTGGCTCTCAAGTAAAGGGCAGAATGAAGCGATGGAAATCAAGAATCTGAAGGCATGTTTCTCAAAATATGGTGGTCTGTGTGTCATCAATCAGGGTGTTCTGAGATGTGTGACAGAGGTGAATACCCCTGGGCCTTGGAAGAAAAGTTTGGGACAGTGCATGTTAAACAAGCTCATCAGGTTATTCTGTGCATGTTAGGTTTGAGAACCAATACATTTGAAGAGGAAAGACCTAACTTTTGTTAAGGTCAATTCTGCCCGACATAGTCTCTTCTAGACACTCTATCATGTCTGCAATCTCTTTTTATTTTTAAATTTTTTTAAATGTTTATTCATTTTTGAGAGAGACAGAGCACGAGCAGGGGAGGGGCAGAGAGAGAGGGAGGAGACACAGAATCAGAAACAGGCTCCAGGGTATGAACTGCCAGCACAGAGCTGGACGTGGGACTCAAACTCGTGAACTGCGAGACCATGACCTGAGTCAAAATCAGATGCTCAACTGACTGAGCCACCCAGGCACCCTGTGTCCACAATCTCTGAATGAAAAATGGTTCACTTAATTTTTTTAACACTTCTTGAAGAAACAGATTCATGTGCATTCATTGTGTTCCTTTTCAAGAAATGAAAATACATTTGGGAGGGTTAAGGGGCCCTCACCTATGTTCACATAGAGAATAAGTCTTACTGGGGCGCCTGGGTGGCGCAGTCGGTTAAGCGTCCGACTTCAGCCAGGTCACGATCTCGCGCTCCGTGAGTTCGAGCCCCGCGTCGGGCTCTGGGCTGATGGCTCAGAGCCTGGAGCCTGTTTCCAATTCTGTGTCTCCCTCTCTCTCTGCCCCTCCTCCGTTCATGCTCTGTCTCTCTCTGTCCCAAAAATAAATAAATGTTGAAAAAAAAAAATTAAAAAAAAAAAAAAAGAATAAGTCTTACTGATGTCTGAAGCCAAAGCAAGATGTACAAATGAAATACAAACAAAACTATAAAACTAATAAAAATTCAAATTGGCAACGTTGATGTGAGACAGCTGCTGTTGTTTGCTGAAACTAAATCTTACATGTTAGGTTTATAGCAGAAAGATATAGCTTTGGGTCCAGCTCTATTTTTGATTAAAGTAATATGACTGCAGGCAAAGCTTTGTTTGCTAAATCAGAATAATTAGACTTCATACTTAACCAAACTTTCTAGCAAGCAATCCTTCAATGAGGTCTCCCTGTATCTTTCAGACACCCACAGTCCTCTAGATCAGGGGTTTTTCTTTTTTCTCTAAAAGGCCAGATGGTAAATCCATAGGTTTTATAGGTTAAGAGACAAAATTGAGGCAGGTACTTATATAATAAGAAAATGTCTTGTCACACAGATCGGTACTGCTGAATAGTGATACCAATCATAAGCATGTGATTTTAATAGGAAATATTACTTGAGTCATTTATAGAATTCTATTATATTCTTTCCTTGATATGTACCTTTTAGTATGTTACTGTAGATTAATCAGTTCAATTGAAAGTTAAGTGGAAGTTAGATGGATTTTGCACAATTAGATGGATTTTGAAATATTTGACTTTTCTTTTGCATGTGAAGCAAGGTCCAAAAAATACTTCTGGAACTGTAGGTTTAGGTTGAGCTTGGAAAATATATTCTCTGAAAATTCATGTGGGGTGGAGATTTAACTTCTTGTTTTAATTTTTGACAACATAGGAAGTAAATACAGCAGCTTGATACTACTTGTGATTCAAACAACATTAGTTGTCATCAAAATGACTTTACTGCAGTGTAAGTTTTGTATGTAAGCTCAGCTTTGCCTAATAGTTTTAGGTTCAATTCATTAAGAAACATCAAATCTGCAGCAAAAGCTAATTTCCAAATTCACTCACTGTTAATTAACAATGATTGAAGAAAGTCCTCATTCAGACGAATTTCAATCTTGATCCTGGGCTGAATATAATCTCAATATAATTTCATCAGTGCTAAAATGTCACACTGCTGTATGGTAGGACAATTAAGGATTTACTTCTATCTATGACAAAATTTATGGTGCTGAAGATATTAAGTCCATGAGAGTAGAATTTCACTATTGACACTGCCAATTCCGTAAGACATGATATCAAATATGTTCCTCAGAAGTACCTGCTGATAAGGGCATCTGGATGGCTCAGTCAGCTAAGCAACCGAATCTTGATCTGGGTTCGGGTCATGATCTCAGTGCAGAGCCCACTTGGGATTCTTTCTCCCTCTCTCTCTGCTCCTCCCCAACTTGCACGCATGCTCTCTCTCTCTCAAAATAAATAAACATTAAAAAAGAAGTACCTGCTGATAAATAATACAATGAATATAAGGAAGTCTTTAAACACCTTAAATTTTCAAAATCTGTAAATTCATCCAACTAAGAGCTTTTCTTCTCCACATATATTTTTATCACCATCAGTTATAGCACATCTTAGCAGATTCTACTTCAGGTTGTACTAGATTAGTGTTTTCTCACTGTTTTCAAAAATATTCTCAATTATAATTGTTTCATACAGACCATTCATAGGTGAAACTCAGTGACTTTGGATCTGGCATTAGTCCTTGAAAAAACAACTGAACAGTATGTTGATTTATCAAAAGCCAAGGAAAACCCCTTGAAATCATTTGGTTTCTTTTTAAATGGACTATTGAGGGGCGCCTGGGTGGCGCAGTCGGTTAAGCGTCCGACTTCAGCCAGGTCACAATCTCGCGGTCCGTGAGTTCGAGCCCCGCGTCAGTCTCTGGGCTGATGGCTCAGAGCCTGGAGCCTGTTTCCGATTCTGTGTCTCCCTCTCTCTCTGCCCCTCCCCCATTCATGCTCTGTCTCTCTCTGTCCCAAAAATAAATAAACGTTGAAAAAAAAATTTAAAAAAATAAATAAATGGACTATTGATATTGCTTCCAATGTCCTAAACTCTTTTGAGTCACTTTCCCCCCCAAAGTTAATAGTCTTAAACCAGTTTATTTTCTCTGGACACATTTCTTTGGCTTGGAACCAAATATGACTTAATTAACAACACTGGTCAATGACTTGCTTTATCTAACAAATGAACTATTTGGGAACTTACTTCGGTTGCAGCTTCATTTCAAAAAAATTAGTGAAAAAAATTATACCTTAATGAAGTATTCCTTCTTCTACTTTCCACTTTTTCTGACAAGTGCTTTCCTGTAAGTTGGGAATATTGTTATGATTGCTTAGTCCTAAGTAATACTGACAGATACTGTAGGTTTAGCACAGTGATAACATCACTTCATAATAAAAAACACAGTTCTTTGTCATCCAATTGATGACAAAATAATCCATAATCCATTATGTCTTACACGTGTAATATTTGAAGTTTACTTTTCTCCCATTTTTGTCTTGACATGATGTGCATGAACTTGTCATAAAAAATTATAGGCCCCTCCCCCTGGTGCTCCAGCCTGACTTCCCTCCCAGACCCAACCTGCAGAAAGGCTGCCCAGAGGAGGAGAGGAGGGGAGGGTGTGTGGGTCTGTGTGGGCGCTGATGTTCTAGAACTTCCACGCTACCCTCAGCTGCACGAGGAAGTTGGATCTGACTTCTTCAGGATCTGTCCTTCTTTGGGTTCCCAAGGTGTCCCACCAGATGTCAGAAGTGGGTGGAGAATTCTGGGAGAGCAGACTTAGAAGATAAAACACCTGATCAACGAAATAAACATGATCAATTATGTGCCAAACATTTTGAGACCTCTATGATCTGTAGAACTAGTCCTTATGGGACAGTTCTTGGAGATAATGCAATACCAACAATATTTGTTTGTTCTTGCCAGTCATTCAAACAATCCACATAGTAGACACAAAAAACTAACAAAAGAAATAAGTGAAGATAAAATCAAGAAACTGAAACGGAAAAAACAATGATGAAAATTCTGAAGAGGAATAAAAACAAAGAAATAAATGACAGCAATGCTCAGAATCCCAGTGCGGAAGAAGGGGCTGAAAAACAGGATGAAGACATTTTTCATCAACTCTTGAAAAGAAAGAAAACAAAGAATACTTAAAATCTTTATTTGAAATTTTGATTTTTTAAAAAAAATTTTCTAGTTTATTTATTTTGAGAGAGAGAGAGACAAAGAGAGAGACAACAAGCAGGGGAGGAGCAGAGAGGGAGAGAGGGAGTGAGAGAGAATCTTAAGCAGCTCTGCACTGACAGTGGGGCCAAACTCATGAACAGTGAAATCTTGACCTGAGCTGAAAGCAAGACTCATATGCTTAACCTACTTAGCCACTCAGGTGCCCCTGAAATTTTTATTCTTATGGGAAAACAAGACATGCCTCTGGAAGGGCATGAAACTGATGACCTCCCGGAGGATCTCTTTGTTCAAGCACTGCTGGAGTGTGGGATAAATTCTGGTGAAGAAGTTGATAGAAAGCATTGAGACAATAGCAGTTAACACATTGTTCGGCTCGAAAACATAGCAGAGGCAGATGCTAGAGATCTGTGAGAGCTGCATTTGGGAGGAAACCCTCGGGGAGTGAGAGGCTGCCACTTCCTCTTTTCCATCATCACTGATGCCATAGTGGCCATATCAGGGAAGAATATTTGTCTGTGTTGGTGAGGTTTGTTGATGAATCTCATAACCTGAGTGAGGAATTTGTAGGCTTCTTGCCTTATGAGGTTGATGCAGAAATTTTGAAATTTCATACTGTTGATAATGGAGAAGTGGGGATTAAGCTGGAGTATTATCATGGCCAGGCTTACACTGTGTCCAGTGGATTTGCTTCCAAAATGAAAGTTGTTGCTTCTAGACTTTTAGAGAAATATCCCCAAGCTGTCTATGCACTTTGCTCTTCCTGTGCCTTAAATATTTGGTTGGCAAAGTCAGTGCCTGTTGTGAGAGTACCTGCTGTATTAGGAACAATAGAGGAAGTTTGTTCTTTCTTCCATTGATCTCCACAACTGCTTTTAGAGCTTGAACTGAAGGAAATTTGTCATTCCCAGTGGACAGGCAGCCATGATGCTTGTGAAATTTTAGTGGAGCTCCTGCAAACACGTGTTTTATGTTTAGATGGTATAGTGATACAAACCTTGGGTGGAATAACTATATAGCTGGTAACTATATAGCTGGGAACAGCTTTTGATTTCATTCTTACCATTGTTGTTCCTAAAAATGTTCTATCTTTTACAAGAGCCTTTGGGAAAAATCTCCAGGGGAAAACTTCTGATGTCTTCTTTGTAGCCAGTAACTTGACTGCAGTGCTGCATTCATTAAATGAAATGATGGAAAATATTGAAGTTTATCATGAATTTCGGCTTGAAAAAGCTATAAATTTGGCAACCAAACTTGATATTCAGCTGAAACTCCCTGGAGAATTCCACAGAGCCCAGCGAGGTAACCTGGAATCCCAGCTAACTTCTGAGAGTTA